CAAAGAAAAAACTTTCCAGGTTCTCTATATTCATGCAAAATTTCTTCAAATCATTTGAAATATTAATTGTAAGTTTTTTAATCCAATGCTCTGCCTCCTGTTAACAATACAAATAAAAACTTCCCAAAATACCCCTGGAAAGATGCATAAGCCCTGTAACTCTAAATTTCTCCCAAAATGCCCCTGGAACTGCTTTTCAACTAAATCACAGAATAACTTTTTAGGTTCTCTATTTTCATGCAAAATTTCTTCAAATCATTTGAAATATTAATTGTAACTTTTTTAATCGAATGTTCTGCCTCCTGTTAACAATAAAAATAAAAAACTTCCCAAAATACCCTTGGAATTCTTTTTGTCCCGGATTCTAAATTATCCAACGATAAGTTTATATATGGTGGTTATCGGCTGGTATTGAGCCGAGTAGTTGCTTTTCTCCCTCTATTGTCGCCTTTTGCTACCCTTAACTCACTTTTTTCGTCTCTCTTTTGACTACCCGCGTCTTCTTTACCTGTTGAACAAGTACAAAACATAAACAAGTTCATTCAATGTAAAACTAAACTCTAAAAATCATACATGCATCTTAACAATAAAGTTAAAATAATGTAATTTTCTATTTTAGTGAAGAGGGAACATGGGTGGCGATGATGATGGTAATGGCCTGAAGTGGCATTGTGTTGATTGTTCAACGTAGCTGTTCAAGTTCTGCAAACATTAACATCTAAACATTAAGAAAAGTAAGTTTATACATTGCCCAATTTGTGAAGATATGGTGGTATCTGAACCAAACATCCCCATAATCTTTTAGCCTGAAAAATGATCCCATAACCCTTTTTTCTTGAAAAAATGAAAAAATAAATAAATGGTAATGAAGTTATCTTGTAATCTTGGAGGCATGCTGACCATAGAAGAGAAGTTGGTAATTAAAAATTGGAAATTAGCAACATGGAGATCATGTAATAGTAATTTAAATTCAATCAAGTGAACCAATATCAAGACTAATGACACAAAGTAAAGAAATAATACTTTAAAAATGTCAGGACTTGTAGCAAACTAAGCCAAAAATAGCATTATACTTAATAAAAAATAAAAAGAATGGCATATTCTTTAAAAAAATGCCACAACTAATTGCAAACTAAACCTATGATAGCATTATTCTAATAAAAAAACTAAAAAGAATGAAATGCCAAAAGGACATTAGAAACTTATCTATCTTCAATAGTACCTTGATCAAAATATCATCATCGTAGAATCTCAAGGGATTAACATCCTTCAACCGATTCGTCTGTAATATTCCGCTTCCTTTCTAAAAATTTGCTTGCTTAGTGTAGCAGTGAAAACATATAAAGTCATAATGACAAAATTACCATTTATAGCTTTTCTATCACAAATTTTCAAAACCTTTAAAAGTATTTAGCTAAAAATAAGCATACATGTAATTAAATTTATCGGAAAAACTCATAAAGAGGTAACTCTCATTAGATTCTGTAGTAACCGTAACCATTACTCAAAACAAAAAGGTAAAGGGCTCCTCTCCTTCCAGTTCATTGAATGCTACTAAATTCTAAAACCATACACTAATGTCACTTACCCTTTTTTTTCATTTTTTTTTTAATTATTAACTAACAAAAGCTAAACAAAAAAATGACAAAATTGCCCTTTATAGCTTTTCTATCAAAAAATCTGCAAAACCTTTAACAAAAGTTAAACAAAAAAATGACAAAATTGCCCTTTATAGCTTTTCTATCAAAAAATCTGCAAAGCCTTTAACAAAAGCTAAACAAAAAAATGATAAAATTGCCCTTTATAGCTTTTCTATCACAAAATCTGCAAAACGTACCATTAACAAGTTCATTCAATGTAACCTTTAACAAGTTCATTCAATGTAAAACTAAATTCTAAAAACCATATAAAGTAATAATGACAAAATTACCCTTTATAGCTTTTTTGTCACAAATTTTGAAAACCTTTTAAACTATTTAGCTAAAAATTAAGCATACATATAATTAAATTTATGCGAAAACTCATAAAAAGGTCACTCTCATTAGATTTTGTAGTAACCATAACCATTACTCAAAACAAAAAAAGTAAAGGAATCCTCTCCTTCTATGTTCATTGAACCCGTGGTCAGCCACGGTCCTATAAGTGTGGATTGTTTACAATCGTTTATTAACGGTAACTGTATTAAACCCCCTTGGGATTGTCTAATGATCCTTGTGCCCTTGGGACAATCTTTCATGTCTCCTGATAGTTTTACAACGTCTGGAAGTTTATAAGGGTTCAAATTGTCAAGCATTAAAATATCACCAGAGTTATTTGTATCATTCACTGTTTCATCATTGGTGAGAAAAAAATAATAATAAAATAATAAAAAATAGAAATTTTCAAATTCAAATGTAAAAGTCTCAGCATGAAATGGGTTTACAAGTAGTTTATTTTGAAAAAAAAAATTATATTACATTTTCACGAAAGGGCAATAATACCGTTAACCGTATTTAGTAATGCTAGACGGAAAATTTACAACTTAGCTTTTCTATCACAAAGTTTTCAATACCTTTTAAAACTATTTAGCCAAAACATAAATCATACACAATAGTAAATTTATGAATAAAAAAGTTTAGTAAAAGGTAGATTCTTTTTTAATCTGATTTTTTACCTAATAAAAGCTAAGAAAAAACCATTATCATATTCTATGATTTTATATTGCATTTTTACATAACGACATAATGCACTTTACCGTATTTTGTAATGCTAAATGGTTATATAAATAGTGTATCTAAAAAAAAGTAGTGTTGAACCCGTCGTCAACCACGGTCAAGTAATTGTGGATTGTTTGCAATCATTTATAAACAGTAAATGTATTAAATTATCACTAATATTCAATGTATGATAACTGGTTCAAAAACTTTACTTGAACCACTCGAACGTAGTAAAGGGTTGACAAAGAATGTATATGTAGAATGCACAAAACTTTCTTCCACTAGAAATATCTGTTTCACAGTCACCACAACCAGTGACATAAAAACAACACAACCAACAATCTTATCAACACAAAAAACACAAATTACACTATCAACACCAATGGAACAACAAACCACAACAACTATGGAATCCCTCACCCCTACTAAATCACGTGAAACCGGAAAACCTCCAAATGGAAAATACAGGTAAAAACAACTTATAGCAGTTTATTTATTGCATACACGTAATGAACATCTTACATTTTACAGATACACCAAAAAAACAACGTCCCAAACATGAGAAATACAGAAACCATAGCAAAGCAAACGCAGGAACACATGCCAAAAAACAATGAAACTATTTGATCTTTTCATAACATACTTAGACTTAACCTAAACTCTAATTATTATAGTTTTATGCCCATTTTATAGACTACATTCAACACATTGTGTTTATAAACAATAATCTGTAAATATTTAATAACTATGTCATCTTCAGACAAAAAATTTCCAAACATTAGTAATCTTTTATTGTTTCTATAGATTTGTTTGATATCTAATGACATTTAGTTTTCAATTTGTAGTTTTTAGTGTGTTTATTGTTCATGTTTATAGTCGTGTATGTGAGAAGTGTTAGCATCTATGGAACCATTTTTGTTCTATTGTACAAAAAAAGATGTATGTTATACGTTGCAAAAGCAATACCTTTCCGACATTCTTCGATTTTTAATTCATTCAAGATTTCACGTCATAAACAAAGTTATTTCACGTTTTAAAGATTTGCATGGGTAAACGTCCACCGATAACGTGATCTGTGGTTCACCACAGGTTCTCACACTAGTTTATACTATTAAAATGACAATGAAAGTTAACATCTATATATGAGAATATTGGTTAATCAACTAACCACTACAAGTATGGCGACGACACTTATCCCGACGATCAAAATTTGTCGCAACAAGTCGGGCTATGCCGACGACTTGTCGTCGGTATAGCTTTTGCCAACTTCAACCAAATTTGTTTGACTAGAAGATTTGTACCGACAACGTGTAATCGCTATAAATTTCAGCGGGAATGATGAAATTATTCGCGGTCTTTTGAAAACCTGTGCCGATGACATGTCGACAAAAAAAACTATTTTTCATTTAATTTTTATCATTGGTACAGAAATTCAAAACGAAGTAGTTTTTGTAAGATATGTCGACGACTAGTCGCTGGCAAGCCATGTGACGATCCGTGTGAAATATCTATCCCGATGACAAGTCGTCGATATAGTTTTTTCACTTTTAATTTTTTATGTTTTAGCAAAATTAGGGACGACGTCGTTTATGTAAACCCTATACCAATGACTTGTTGTTGGCATATGGTTTTACCCTAACAGAAGTCCAGTCCATCGTTCATTTGCAGCAGGAGACGACACCCATTTCTCTCCCGACGAAAATCGTGATTGGGCACTCCTTCACCGGCGACGAGCAATAGATACACTCTTGGTCAACCTTTATACTCCGAATTTGTTGTTTGTTAGTGTTTGTTGAAGCTTTTTACTACGAATTTGCGTTTTTTTTTTCCTGGTTACAGCTGATCACCACTGTCCACCGTTCACCACCTTCGGCCTTCACCACTGGCGACTCCACTCTCCTTTCAACTTTTCTCCTTCACCGCCACAACAGGTAAGAATTTGGGGTTTCTCTCGTTTTTTTTTTCTTTTTTAATTTTATGTATTTCCTGTGAAATTCATCATAATTTTGAAGTTGTTATTCATATGCAGCTTATACAGATTTTTGGTTTCCTGATAGTTTCATTTCACGTGAGGTAACTAAATCCCGTATTTGATATCTTGTTTCTTGTTTCTAATTATGAAAATTTGAACCATATAAAACATTAAAGATTGTTATTTTCCCCTTTTCATTCAATATAAAAGATATTTGGATGGAGCTCCATAACAAGCCAAAGTATATAAACCTTTGGTTCTAAATGCCTTTAAAATTTAAAGAACTTATACATTTTGTTTATTTAAATTTCTAGTGGGAGTTGATTGTTGAGATGCTTGGGCCAAATCCACGTACATTCGAGGACATTATAGATGCGTATATAGTACATTTGCAAGTAAGTTTTATGCTTCAGGATTTCATAGATTCAAAAATAATCCAAGACAAATTTCTAGTCTTTCTAATTTGTTAGAAATTTATGTCAATTCTTCTCCCTCTTTACAGGCTACTGTTGTCAATCATAAAGCACTGTCAATCCTGCAAAAGTTTGCTCTTGATGCTCAAAAGGGTAAAATCATCAAAGATAAATTACAATTTGGTGCCCCTTGAAAACACCCATCATGTAAAGATAACCCTTACATGCGTTCAGAATGGGCAAAGCATCAACTAATGGATTTCATCCAATGTTTATTCGGTGTCGAGTTTGGGGTATATTTGTCTTTTTCTTGTGTTAGTTGTTCTCGTTGTGAAGATTCTAACCACCACCATTTCCGAGTTCTCTATTCAACTCCAGCAAGGAAGTACCTCTCAACAAATTGTCGAGCCCGAGAGGATGGAAGTAAAAGGAAAAGAAGAAGATGATGATGATGAAAATAATGGTTGATGTTTTGTATTATTAGAGTTAAATTTGATGCTTTGATTTTGAACAATACTAGTTAGTTATTGTATCTCAATTGATATATGTTGCAAAGTGTTTGGATTTCTTAAAAATGTAGGAATGAAAATGTACAGAATCTGTAAAAAAAACACACATACACACATGGTACCTATCTCGACGACTTGTCGTCGCCACAGATAATTAATAGAACTTTATTTTTTCGGAAATATTCTCGATAAAACCTGTACCGACGACAAGTCGTCGACATAGGGGAACCTATGCCGACGACACTGATGCCAACGACTATTTTGACCTATCCTGACAGGCCTCTACCGACGAAATGTCGTCGGTATACCCTATGCCGATGACATATCGTCCGCACTCGGTAAGAAGTTGTCGTCTGCAGAAGGGTTTAATGTTGTAGAGGTTGGCAATGTTTACAATGTTGATATAACTAGAAGTACCCAAACATCCCATGTCCCATATCGTCCGAGGGCTAAGTGAATTTGAATGAATAGAAGCTATAAAATACAAATGACTATCAAATTGTCGATAACTTTGCATCCTATCTTACATCTTATTTGTGATCATGGATATGCTCGTTATAAATCGTCGTGTCTCTATTTATGAGATAATTGTTAAAGAATTCCATGATCTTTGACTTAAAATAGTTTAAAAGTTTTTAGCAACCGGGTACCCGGAACCGGTTCTGGTGATTCTAGGAGCGGTTCCAAAATTTTAGGAATCAATATAAGCGGTTTTGGTTCCGGTTCCAACATCTTTGGAACCGCCGTTTCCGGTTCCACTAAATTTGGCCGGATACTCCAATATGTTCATCCCTACTTAAAGATTTTGAAAATTGATATGCATTTCTAATTGTAGAACAATTGACTTCAAGAATCAAGAAGATCAAAAAGTTTTCCATTTGTGCATATAGACAAACATACCGTTCCAATAAAACCTCATTCTAGAAGTAAGAATTCTTTTAAAAATTAAAAAAAATTCTTTTTCATTCGAACCGATAAATTTTTAGACAGATTTAGAAGGGAAAATATCATTTATTGACTTTTCTATCTACACCAAACCTGCTGCACCTATTAACGAATTGTTGGAGTTTTCTGTTAGTTTTTGTCTAAAATAAACTGATGAGTGATGCGTCTTGCTTCTGTTTGTCTAATTTTTTATTTTTATTGAATTATATGTTCCTCCATTTTGATTTTTATAGATAAAATCATGGGAAAGATGAAAACCATTGATTATTTGGTGTATTTTTGGTTAATAAACTATTGCATTTTTTTGTAAATTATTTTTCTATGTATTTTTGGTGTTTATTTGCTAAAAAATTGTTTTTTTGTGTGTGTGAAAGAACGGTAGGTTTAGTTTATAACACACTAGGTTAAAACCTGTAGAAACCACAGGTAAAAAAGAAAAGCACTATTTATAATTTGATAATAAAAAAATAAAAAAATATTAAATTGCAAAGATAAAAGTTTTGTCTATAAGTTTATAATTATTAGTTAAAATTAATATATATATATATATATATATATATATATATATATATATATATATATATATATTGTTGTGAATACCGATCTACGTTTTGTATGTATAGACATTTGATAAAATTATGATTTTATACAATACAATATAAATTTAAATAGAGTTAAAAACACAATAAATAATGATAATGATATTGTTATATGATAATTTTCTTATTATCTAAATATAATTTTCCTAATTTTCTTACTTCTCTATTTTGAACGTAGTAGGTTTTCTTATTTGTAAAATAATATTGAGACTTTAAAAATATAATATTAATTATAGATTTGCAAGCATTTATTTTTAAAGATATGTAGATGTTTTGTTTGTAACTATACAATTATTATTTTAAATTAATATTCAAAATATTTTGAAGATATAAACAATGTTTTTTATGTCTAAATTAATAATAAAATTATCATATTGTACAATGAAATAACAAATCTAAATAATCGAAAAAAAATAGACAATTAAATAATATTTTCAAATAAGATATAACTGAAATTACAAATACATAAGCAATAATATTCAAAATGAAAAAAGCTAATTATAAATCATAAATTTCCAAATACTTCTTTAAAACATTTGATGCTATTTTAATAATAGTATGCACATAGTTTAAAAGAAATATTAAATAGAAATGAATGAAGATTAAATATTTATAAACAATGTTTTCCTATATCATTGTAATAAAAAAAATGACAAAGATTAAACTAATATGAAATATAGATATGTATAACATGTTGTATTTTTTTTTTATTATATTACTTTCATGCATAAATTTCTCATCACAAACAATAATACCACTGTTTGGCTTGTTTCCTTTTCGTTGGTTTTAATATATTTCGTTTGCCGGTTTCAAAAAACTATCATTTGTAATAAATAAAATAAACCGTATAAATAGACAAATAAAATAGAAAAATAAGCTTTAGTTTGGCTATTGTATTTGTCTTTCGAAGAGGTATCCATTTAAAAATAAATTTTATTGGAATTGTTAGGTCTTAAATAAAACTTTTTTCTTTTAACATTGTAGTATAAACTACACACAAAGCATCAATGAATAGTTTGTTTTAGTGTTTAAGAATTCCAGTTTAGAATTTTGAGTTTTAGTTTTAAGTTTTAAGGTTGATTGTTTACAACCATTATAACATAATATTATTCATTTGTTAGACAAAGTTTATAAAAACCACAAAAGCAACAATATAATATTAGTGTTTATCTAAATAAATAAATAAAGATATAACCCAACTTACAACTACTTAATGAAAAGTTAACCCTTAATATTTTAGAACGAAAAGTAAAAGCCAAAATAAATTTCTATACTTAATAAAAAAGTCAACTAATAACAAATATGAACAAATTGATTGTTCATTATAGCAATGCATATTTCATGATACAATATTCACAATAAATCTTAAGGGTAATACAAGTGCATCTCTGCTTTCCTCCTCCAAGGAAGTAAAAATCACAAATTTGTATCAAAAGTCAAAGGAGGTTAAAAATTCATATGGTCCCTAAACAAAAGAAACCAAATTACAATTTCTTTTTGATGAAAATTACTTTACACCATAAATCTTCTAAATTCAAACCATACATCACAATGATTAAACAGTAAACTATTATAAATACCGTTTTGAAGAAATCATAAAAAAATTCTTTCTATCATCATTATATCCAAATAAAATAACTAAATGGCTTCTAAATGTAATCATTGTACAGAAAAAGTATCAATATAGCCAAATACATGTCATGAATACTGAAACAAAGATTAGTTTGAAAAATTGACATCCATGATTATCAATTGAGACAAAAAAGGGGGATGGAAACTCATGAATGTTAGTGATAAATAACAATGCAATTTGAACTTTTTCTTATTTGAACATTATACTTTGAAAATTAAATAACAATGCAATTTGAACTTTTTCTTATTTGAACATTATACTTTGAAAATTTTACGTAACTACCTTTTTGCTATAATTTGTAGATTGTTTAAGGTACAATGTTATAGTAGAATAATAAATGAAAATCATACTATCCTAAACAAATTAATAGAAGTACATTGTTATTTCTTGTGTTTTTAGCCTTGTATTTATTGGTTTTTTAGCCTGTTAAATAAGAAATTTGCATTTCATCTACTATTATATAAAATAGTTTTATGTTTTTTGAAGGTATAGGACATCAACATGGACTCTGGTCTAAATGATAAGCACTATTTGACAAGGTTTAGTTGTTCATCTATAAATGGATCTCGATTATGATCTGCATTTTTAACAGAGAATCTTGTAATCATGTCATCAAAAATCCATCCATCTATATATATATATATATATATATATATATATATATATATATATATATATATATATATATATATATATATGTTTACAAAGATTTTTCCTGCACTTTAATCAGTCATGGCATCATGGGGTTAGAAAAATATACCTTTGTCAGCCAATAACATGGAGGGTAAAACTGGCATATATGCAGCTTATTTTATGACATTAACCTTTGATATCATAGAAAAAAATGTAGTTATTAGTAAGGATACTCACAGTCGAGCCAAGTTCCTCTAAACTGTCAACATTGAATTAATGGTCAATTGAAGTAACCAAAAGAAGAATACAGATAGTTATACCAACAATCTGGTGCTAGGAACCATGGCCCCACAGCTGATGGAAATCTGGACCAAAACACCCCCGTCAAAGGATCGGTGGTACCATTGCACATGTTTATTGCTTTGCTGCGTTGAAGGTGTGGTAGAGTGTGTGGATGGTCTATATTTTGATATTCCTATCTATAGGGCTTCTCGCCCTGGATTGACGAATCTGCCCCTGCTCAAAGCCTCCCCTGAGATGGACTTTTCATCATAGATTTTCACCGTAGATGTTAAAAATCATTGTTGTTGCCGGGCTTTGGAAAAATATATTACCATTACCAACTATTTCATGGCCTTCCATCGAATGGTTTGAAATCTTCAAACTATCTCAAATCTGTTTTGTCTAAAATTAGTGTTGCTGTTGATCACTTGGCGAGTTCTAGTGAAGTTACCTCCTTTATCATTAAGTATTGTTGATTTTCCCACCCTGCGATAGGATGCCCCTCCATTTCACGTTTATCCACATGTTTCTTTTTATTAGTTGTATTGTAACTCTGGTTTTATTTTTCTTTCTTATATAAACTGGATGTTCCATTTTTCACCTTGTTATCATCTCCTCTTGCTAACTTTAATTCATATATCCGACTCTTAAACTCTAGAACTCTATCAATCAAACTTTTGTTAGAAAAAAAATCATAATTTGTACTTCTCATTATTTCCATAAATATTGTTATTAACTAAGACCGCCTTTTGATATTTCACAATTCGATAATCAACAATGGAAAAGTCTCCACTCCGAAAACTTACTTTACATGGTCATTTATAATTTATTAGGTAACTGAGTATTGGAATAAATTTGGCATTACCTTTTAGCTAATCAGAAACTCCAACCGAAGTAGGGAAAGCAAAGTATAAGCCATTAAACATAGGTTCCTCATGTTTGTCTTGGAAATCCTTCAAAAATGAAAATAAACCAATGACAAACAAATAGTGAAGTATTCTTGGAATTTCATCAAATAGTTAGGGTATAGAAATATAAAATAAAATCAATGAAAAAGTTACAGTCACAAATCCATAATTCCTCAATTGACCAGTCACATATACCCCTAAATCCATAATTCTTCAACATGTATATCACAAAGCCACACACACAATCGGTTTAATAATTGACTGTTGACCTCCTAGTTCTAGATGTTGTTCAACATTGATTACTTCTTCCTTTCACAACTCCCTAATTTCTCAAAACTATGAAAATATTAAGGTGACTTGATGTTCTTTAGAAGAAATCATGATGATGGAAATGGAGGTGAAAGAAAAGATAGTCCAATGTTAAACTTATTTTTAGAGAAATCAGGCTTACCGAGTT